GAGAGAGAGAGAGAGAGAGAGAGAGAGAGAGAGAGAGAGAGAGAGAGAGAGAGACTTATCTACAAAGGAACCCTATTGTGAGTATAATGCTTATGCTTGGATGCTTGGTGCTTTACCTGGGTGATAATACATCTTTATGGTGCATTATATGAGATAATAGGCTTTCTTTCAAAAATATTTTTCTTTATTTTAATCAAAGTTATGCATACAGATAGACTGAAGAGTCACACAGTTTTACAAAGGTTGTTGTGAGAAACAGCAGTAGTTTACCACCCCCACTCCCACCCCTAGAGGAAAAGAAACCACATTTAGCTTATCGTGTTGGCACTTACCTCCCTGTCTCTAAGTAGTATTTGCATAATGTCACATCTTGACTTTTCCATTTTAGATATAATCTATTGACTTCCCATGATTGCAAATGAGATTTTCATCTACTCCTTTCCTCCCCATGCTTCTAGCCTATAGGCTGACCCTTCCGTACCCCTCCCTCCCATCAAAGTTACACAATAAATTTGATTAGATCCGTACTATTGTTTAGTTTATTATGACTATGTAAATGCTTGTCACAGCTGAACTATGTAGTAAGTGATACCGTTTTTCTTTTCTGGCACAACTTTTTTATTTTCTCAGAAGTGAAAACTCATTGAGGTTTGCCTTTGCTTGGTTTTCTATGTAGCTACCACCTATTCAACCACAAACTCTCCACCAGTTGCCAAAATCTCCTCTGCCTGTATTCATATGCATCAGGGGTTCTATTAATTTCACCTTCTAGAAGAGGAATTTCCTAGAGCCCTCTAACCTGCTCCAACGTGAGCTGGTGGCCCTGTATTTCTGGTACTCAGATGTCACTCTGGGATTTTTTATCACCAGCATCACAGGGGATTTTTTATCACCAGCATCACAGGGATTTTTTATCACCAGCATCACAGGTGGTCACTGCTTTTCTCCCCTACATTCTGTTTTCTGAATCTCATGCATTTTTTTTCTCTATTTCACCATAAGAGGCTTGCATGCAGATAATGGTCAGTAAATGAGAACCTTCATTATAATCATGAGAGAGCAGTGGGCCAATTTGGGGGTGTGAGAGAAATTTTCGAGCCTGTTAAATGGTGTTCTTTTTCTTCCTGGCTCTTCAACTGACTGCTGAGAAAAGTCTCATCAGTTTATCTCAGAAAAATTGGCTCCAGTGTGATTGGCTTCACATCAGTTTCACTCCCAACCACAGGGTCAAACGGGTAGTCTGTTCCCTCTCCTCAATGTCCTTCCAGCTTCTTTATCCCAAATCCTTCTCAGTAACCTAGTCAGGTATTATTATCTCCATTTCACAGCTGGGACGACTGAGGCCCGAAGAGGTTTTAATTGCTGTCTCCACTTCACCTGTTATTCAATAAGGCTTCTTTGAGAAACCCCCTGGTGACTGGCAGAGTGCCTGGCACAGCAAGTATTGTTATATATGGAAACAAGTCAGGAGAAAACCAGCAGATGTGTCACCTGAAGTGTATGGAAGGGCGGAACTCTGGGCAATCCCTAAGAGGCCAGGAGTGTGGGAAAGTCAGGGCACATCAAAGGGCCACACCTCACTGATTGTTCCAGGTTTCTAAGAAGCTTCTTTATAAATGTCCTTCTGATTAATAATGCTGTAAATATTTTGTAGGGTGTCAGATGGTCACATGTCTTGTTAGGGAGACCACTTCATGTCTGGGGTAGAGGCTTGATCACTGCACTGTACACCTGAAGCTGATGTTGTATAATATTGTATGTCAACTATAATTGAAATAAATATATAGTCACGGGATGTGGAGTATAGTGTGCGAGTGGAGTCAATGGAATTGTAATAGATATGTATGCTATCAGCGGGGGTGGGGAGTGGGGCGGCAGATTGGGGGAGGGGTGTTGTCACTTTGAGGGGTAAAAAGTGTAACTAGTGCACTGTGGTGAACAGCTGAAACTAATTAAAAATAAATAAATAAATAAAATTTTAAAAATAAAAAAATAAAAAATAAATGTCCTGCCGTTCTGCCCTTTAATCTCCCTTTTCCCCCTCTCCCTCCCACCCCAAAGGCAGGGGGTTCAGGGTTCTCTAAAGTGTTTCCGAATGGTTCCTGGCCATCCTGATGACACCGCCCCCTCCAAGTTCTATATTTTCCTTCCTAGGCCCCAGGCTGTTGCCTGGAGCAGAAAAGAACCACCAACACTCTGTGTGCCAAGGTCTCTGTCTTTGCCTGAATTTCCTGCTTGTGAAATAGCAGGCAGAAGGGCCGAGGCAATTCTGGCTGGACCACACCCACAGGGAGAGGTATAAGGGCAAAAGCGGGCACTGGCCACCTCAGCCCAACCTGCCCTCACTATGAAGCCCAGCAACCTGGTCGCCTTCGTGGTGCTCCTGGCCCTCGGAACCCTGATGACAAGATCTGTGGAAGGTGCTAGCAAAGGTGAGTCAGACTCGCAGGCCACCCCAGGTACCAGGTTCAGTGTTGGCTCGCCACGGCCGCTTCCTTTTAGCCCAGGAGCTGACCTGGAAACCATGTTTCCAGCCCATGGCCCCTAATTTCAAGCATCTCGCTGAAGACTTCAACCAACAGAGCTTCTGAGCTCCACCTTTCACCAAATGGACCTGTTTACCGAAGTCCCTGTCTTACTGTTTCTTTCTCTACAGCTTCTTCTCTACTGTTTGGCCTTTTTCTCTGTCGCATACTTTTAGTCTCCACCTGTTTTCAATTTTCCAAATGGTTCTCTTTTTCTCTTATCAGTTCTTTTTTGATGGTCACTTTCTCTTTCTCTATTTACTTATCTGTTGATTGTCAATCTCTGACGAGTTGTCTCGCCTGCTATCACTGCCCCTGTCCTCTCCCCCGGGGCCAGGACCACCTAACCATGAGCTCTGTGCAGCTGGGTCCTGGAGCTGGCTTATACTGGCTTGCAACAGCCAACTGATAAATTTTCAAGACTTTTGTAAGCTAGTTGACATCACATTGGTAGCTTGAAATCAATCGTGACGGGATTATTTACACCATGGAAATTGGCAAACACTACAAAATCTTCCTCTTAAAACATTTACCAGCATACCACCATGTGTATCTTCTTCCCTGGGCCATTGACTCCCTCTTGATGGAGTGTTTGGCTGAGCTTGTCGCTGCCCCACAACTGTCTTAAAACAGGAATCCTAACTGCTCCCTCCATTCTTTTGGGGTCGACCACCTGGGATAGGTTTTCTCTCCCCTCCCGAGAAGCTGGTGCCTTGTCCGGGATTGTACTCGTGACTCAGAATCAGCTCCTTCTCCCTCCTTTGTTCTCACCCTTCAGGAAAAGCTAAATATGGAGCCTGCCCCTTCATACGCCCAGCGAATTGCCTCATCTATGAACCTCCTCAATGCCACAGTGACTGGCAGTGTCCAAAGAAACAGAAATGCTGTCCTGGCGTTTGTGGCATCAAGTGCTTGGATCCTGTTGACTCGTCAAAGCCAGGTGAGGAAGTAGAGTCCTGGAAAGGGGGCCAGGGACATTTGAGCTTGAGGATATGCACTGGGCTGGATGGCGGGGCAGAGCCAGGCCTCATCCACTGCCAGCTCAGTACTCTCAGGTGGTCAGCTGGTCAGTAGGTAAGCCAGTAGCCATTGGCCAGTCAATCAGTCAACTCATTGACTACAGTCAGTCAGTCAGTCAGTGAGTCAATCTGTCTGTCAGATTAACACTGTTGGGGGGGCCCTCAGTGGGAAGGAGACTCCATCGGGACATGCACTGGACTCTGGGTACTGAGGTCGGGGAGAACCCGATTTCCATGCATGGGAAAGAGATGGGGACGGGAGCTTGGGTGGTGTCTAGGGGATCAAGCCTCTGAATTGTGGCTTTCTTCTCACCAGTGAAGGTCAATCCTGGGAAGTGTCCAGTAGTCACTGGCCAGTGTAAGATGCTCAATCCCAGGGATAACTGCCTGAATGACAGCCACTGCCTGAACGGTTTCAAGTGCTGCAAGGGGATGTGTGGGAATTCATGTGCCAAGCCAGTGTGAGGTAAGGAGAAGATCTGGCAAGGCCCACACCCCGCACATCCTGATATAGCCTCAACCTCCAGGTGCCCTTCCATGTAAAAGGGGGTGCTTGGCATCTCCCTGAAGCCCCACCGCCAAGCAGATCCTCTGCCTTCAACAACATTCACCCCCAGTTCCCTAAGCAAGAAGTGCTCAGGGTCACCTGTGACTGGTAGTGCTGGGTCTTGGGAAGGAAGGATTCTTGGAATGAACCAGGAGGCAGGAGCCCTAGAACAAGGGGCACAAGTTCTATCTTGTAATATCATCTCTGCCTTCGACTAACTGTGACTATGAACAACTGACTGTATCTTCCATAGCCTTAGTTTCCTCATCTGTAAAATGGACACAATTATATCCACTGAGACACTAACTGTAAAAGTACTTTTTAAGACTGGAAGTGCTATGTGCATTGAGAGTATTGCTATGGTTGTGGCCTCAATTGGTTGGGTTACCTGGAGCCACAGGGAACCCTAGTATGATGCACAGATATGGAGGCCCAATGCCCTGATTTAACCAGAGGGAAGACTGAAGCAGAGAACCAGTGAAAAGCCTGGACTTGTTCTTGATTCCTGGATGAAAGACCAGCACTGTTTCAACCATTCCAGCACCATGCTCCCCTTCTCTCTACTTACCCCAAGGGACTTAGGGCCTGGTGGCAGAATGAGGGGGATGTAAGGGGCACTTGGATGGGTCCTGTGCTGAGACTCTGTTTTATTTTCTTTCCACAGATGTACTTTTACCAGTTCAATAACATTAGGACTTCCTGGATTCTGTGGTCTGAGGATTCCTCCTCCCCCGCCCCAACCCCCCCGCCCCGCAAGCCTGGAGAAAATGAGAATACTTGATGAAGATGTGGCTTTGTGACCAATACTTCCTTGAGGTCTAAGTTTTTACCTGTTTTATCTATGCATCCCCAGCATCCAATGTGAGGCTTGGCACACAAAAGGAAATGTCTGTTGATTCATGAATAAATAAATGTACAAAGTCTTCTCCACATTTCTATCTTCCTTGACTTATTGAGTCTCGTCTAGAATATGATGGGTGAGATGAAGAATGAAATGTCTGCATGCACAGGGTTTCTCCCACAACCTGGGGAGTAGGAATGAGAGAGCGTTTGGAGCCAAGCAGATACGGGTTTAAATCCTGTATCTGTAGATTACTGGCTCTGTAATGTTGGGCAAGCGACTTTGTCCTACTGAGCCTCAGTCTTGTCATCTATAACATGGAACTGATAATAGAAATGCCAATTCTGTAGTTATGAGGACTAGAGGTGATAACATGTGACGTGAATAGCCCAGTGATCGTCACACAGTAGGCTCTCAATAAATGCTAGACTTATTTCAGGTAGAAAGGCTTTCTTAAGCAAGGCACAAAAAATTAAGAAAATGGCTGAAAATTTGACTACATCAACATAAAAAATTATAGACACAAAAGAGTTGAAAGATAAATAATAGCTTTGAAGTAAATATTTGGGATAATTATAACAGACTGAGAAACAGAATGAAAAATATGTGAAGGATTTCTACAAATCAGGAAGAAAATCAACCAAGCTCTTAGAAAAAAAGGGAAATGAAAAGATAAGCAATTAAAGAAGAGGTGTTACTATAATAAATGGCCAATATGGACATAGAAGAGTTTCAACCTCATTTGTTATCAGGAACAGCCAATTAAAACAATCAGAAACACCATTTTTCATCCATCAGAATGGTAAGAATTAAAAGTCTACAATATAAACTGTCAGAGACTCTAAAAGTTTACAGATGGGCGTATAAATTGGTACTGCCACTTAGAAGAGTGATTGTTTATGCCTAATAAAACTGAAAACACACATAAGCTATCATTTAGGAATTTTCCTTCCAGAAATACAAGCGATACAAAACATTTGCCGATGGGAGCCTAGTACACATATTACCGTATTTGCCGGCGTATAAGACGATTTTTTGGCCCTGAAAAATATGCCTCCAAGTGGGGGGTCGTCTTATACGCCAGGTACACTTCAGATAGACTGCCCATAGTGCTTGCCCCGTGCCATAGTGGCCTCCCGATGCCCGCCCACTTCATTCCACATACCGTTCAGGCATCAGCAGCGCTGCTGGGTGTATGCTCGGCTGTTATGCGATTTTGCTGTTATGCGATTTTACCACACTCGCAAAATCGCACACAGCCGACCATACACCCAGTATGATAGCGCAAAATCACGAATCGCGATTTATGTATATGTTTGATTACATACAGCCTTGTGACAGTTTTCCTGCATGTCATAAGCATTTGAATATAAATATAAATGTTGAAATCAAATCTGATATTGTTTTACCTTTTATTTGGTGTGTGGAAGGTGTGCGGAAGAGGGGGTAGTCTTATACGGCGAGTATATAACAAACTCTGTATTTTGAGTGGAAATGTTAGGGGGTCGTCTTATACGCCCAGTCGTCTTATACGCCGGCAAATACGGTAGGATGTTTATTATAAGATTGTTCCAAAGGATCAGAAACTGAAACCAGCCTAAATGGCCCTCATTTGTGAAATGGTTCAATTTTCATACCTTGATATGCTCTAGAAAAATTAAAATAAATCTGTATGAGTCCACATGGAGACATATCACAAAACAGTTTGTTGTGGAAATCATATTGCTGATGTAAATATTAGTATGAAGTATTCATATATATTTTAAAATCACACAAAATAGCAAGCCGTTTATGGGTATACACCAATGGATACACACCAAATGTGGGATAATGGCTTTCTCTACAACAAAGGGATTGAAAATGGAACTGGTAGTGTTGGCCAAGGAGATTGATGGTTTATCTTCAAGATTTATTACTTGAAAACAAAATAAACATATAATACCCCCCATTCTAGGTACTTTTACTATCAAACGTTGGAGTAAAACAAATCTTTCTGCTCTTTTCTTCTTCCAAAAGCTGTATCCAATAACATGGAGAGCAGAAACAGAAATTCAAAAGTCATCTTGGATGAAACTAGGAACCATCTGTACCCACTGGCCACAAAAGACTAGTACAATTGAAAATCAGATTTTCAAATTGGAGTAATGTTGAAGCTAATGATTTACAGCACGAGATATTTATGAGAAGCTCTGTAGGATTTTAGAAAGGCTTGGAAATTGAGAGTGGGAGATCGTCCCTAGAGGGTCACTGTTTTAGTATCTCTACAAACAGCAGTTAGAGGGCTGGCCGAGTGGCTCAGCTGGTTAAGAGCTTGCTCAAGAGTGTGAGCTCTGAGCAACTGCAGTTCAATGCCCGGCCCGAACTGAGCTGCCAACAGGCAGCAGGATGGCTCAGCTAAAAAAAAAATTTTTTTAATTTTTTTAAATAAATAAATTAAATTAAATATTTGGACCACAAGGTTAATTTTCCTCTGAAAGACTCCCAAGTTCTATATGAAGGAATATGATTTTATTACATGGGTCCTTTAATTATGACCTTCCCGTGCTGATAACGTCTGCCCCTCCAATACTCGGGATACATTTTAAACCTGTCCTACGCTGACTGCAGGGTGCTGTGTTCAAATCACTTCTTTCCAGTCCCTTGGCTTTCCCCTTTTTTAAGAAGTGAGTAGGGGAAATTTTCTTTCATCCTGCCTCTTTTCAGGGAAGTTATCTTGAGGGGGCATCTCTGTCTTCCAACCAAAACAGACCTTGACTCAGTCTCTCAAGGTCCAGGTAACATGGATATTGAGAAATCACTTGGCCAGGTTTGAATAACTGATGTCGATTCCCAGTTCTGCTGCTGACTCAGTTTGTGACGTTGGACAAGTTCCTTGGCTCCTCATTTGTATAATGAATAGATGATCCAGCTGACCCGCAAGGTCCCACTTGGTTCTGCTATTTTACAAACCAATGATTCATAGAAGCACCTTTGAGGGAAAGCCCCAGTAGGATGGGCCACCCCATCTAGTTCTATGAACACCCTATAACTATAGGTTCTCCTCAGCCCCACCTCAGCCCATCTCCTGTAGTTGTGTGGCCAGCTGCCAGGGCACCTGCTTACCTGGCGCTTGTGACTTATGGGTGTCCCAATTATCTACAACTAGAATGTCAAAGGTAGTCTGTCGAGTAACACCCTCTTGATATACAGATGGGGAAACTGAGGCCCAAAGAGAAGAATTGCCCAGGATCATACAGGAAGTCAGTGGTGGAGCTGAGTACCCTTTATCTCCAAGCCCCACATTCTTTTTCATTATTTTCAAGTTTATTTTTTTCAGATTATAGAGTGGGTGCCATGGTGTGCTGTCCAGGTCCCCCTTTAGGGCTGAGGTACTCATGCCTTCAGGTGCTGGGAGTGTCGGCTGCTGACACTCACAGCTCAGTCCCTCCCTGGGAATTCTCCAGGCTAAAGTGAGCTGCTTCATCCAAGGTTACACCCCATTCCCAGGGCAACCTGTATCCACTGATGTCAGGGTTCAAAGGCCTAGTTCTCTTGTTCAATTAGGGACACCCCTGAAGGACCCTCTTCACTCCAGAGTCCCCATGAATTTGGGTAGACTTCGTTGTGACTGCATCACAATTCCCTTCTCCCTCTCTCCAGCCACGCGTCTTTTACCTCTCACAGGTGTTGCTCCTCACTGCTCCCCAGGAAACCTCCTGCATGTAGACATCTGCCTCTGAGACTGTTTCGCAGGGAACCTCACCTAAGGATGATTATAAAAAATGATGATTACCCAAAAATTCATTAAAATTGAAAACTGCTCCGTGAAAGGCAAGGTCAATACAATGAGAAGACAAGCCACGGACTGGGAGAAAATATTTGCGAAAGACACATCTGATTAAGGACTGTTACTCAAAATTTACAAAGAACACTTACAACTCAACAATAAGAAAACAAACAACCGAGTGAAAAAATGGGTCAAAGACTTTAACAGACACCTTAGCAAAGGAGATGTACAGATAGTAAATGAGCATGTAAAAGGACATTCTCCATCACATGTCATCAGGGAAATGCAAATAAAAAGATCAATGAGGGCCGGCCGAGTGGCGCGATGGTTAAGAACT